AGAATCTATCTTCTCGGTTGAAATTGTCTCTGTATATGTGGATAGCCTTATGAACGAATCTCTCATGGTAGCCAGATGGCTTGCAAAGAACCGCTGTCTTGGAGAAGTCAATGTCATGTGAACCTACTGAATTATAACAGTGGTCTCCCACGGCCGAGGTGTTCGTTCGTTGCAATGATTCCATTGCAACGAGCGGCCGAATGGGCGCCCTGCTCGTTGGGCGGTGCCATCTCGCCCAATGCGGAGACTGGGGACGCGTTACCAAGTGATTTTTTTTCTCGCAGGCAGCAACATTTACACATAGCCTGAGCTTTGGACACACGGAGTAGTTCGCATTAGCCAAGTACAGGATGTGGTTCGGACTCAAAAGACGAGTATTCACGTCACTCATGACATCGATTCCCACGTAATCGCCACTCAAGTACCTGTACTACGTGGGTTCGAAATGTATTGCTACAGAATAATGATGCTGTGTCTAAGCTGGACCCAACTAGTGACCAACGTAGAAGAAAACAGTTTGCACGTTTCAGTTTTTCATTTCAGTTTCATTATTAGGTATAGCCCTGTGAGCCATGAGGCTCTTAACTCGGGTGCAACTGCAACAAACAAATCATGAACAAAGAACATCTTAAAGTGACGTTTCGCAACAGAAACATCCAGGACAAACTCGTAAAATCTTCCAGAAAAAAAAGCACCGTACATCAACGCTGTGAAAAAGTCGAACAATAACAACCATAAGACAATTTCGATAAAATTATCAGGCTAACTTCGTGCTTCAACATAACAAACATGGCTTAATCTTGATTTGGCTTAACCATACGTTTTTGAATATTACCAAAATAGAGAAGAATACCCGATGCAGGCAGTGATGGGAAGTGAACTGGCACCATTTGGACACACGTGTAGGATTGGCAACAACAGGGAAATTAAAAGTGTGTTGTTGTTCGGGACACATGGAAGGAACCGGAAATAGAGGAAGCCCTAAGTGAGAACGGTTTGAAGACGACGACAGAAGCGATGTGTGCCGGACACACATTCTCCTGCGGAGGGAGGAGCTGGTAGGAACGTTGGGTTGCTCGGTCAATGGCCAGGGTCAACGGCGGCACCACGTGGTGTATTCCGCAAATATGCCCAACTGTGAGGGCGGGCACAAGCCGGCGTGAGTAGGTTAAACGTTGAGTTTTATAAGGGCACCACGGGGTGACCAGCCCCTCGCCACCCAGCCCCACCCCTCCCAGCCCCACCCTCCCCACCCTCCCCACCCCACTCCCTCCCCACCCTCCCCTCCCCACCCAGCCCCACTTCACCCATTTTTGGATGCACGACGGACGGGCACAATAATCCCCTGTGGGCTGCTGGTGTAGTAACCAGGAGGTTCCTACCAGTAAAATGTGCACTCCTTGAGCATATTGGCACAAGACATGAAAGTAGAAACAAGTGACGAGATGTGTAGGGGACAATCACGAGTGACATGCCCACGTTATCGTGATGATTATGATGAATCGTCTACCCAGCAGTATGGTCGATGGGCATATCGCGTTTGGTGGGGGGGGGGGGACCCAGTGTGGGTACTCACAACGCTTCCCAGACATCTGCTTGTGAGTAAGGGGGCCATACATTTAGTAGGTACGCAAAAAGCTGTCAAAACTTGACCCCTCCCCCCTCCCTGTACGCACGCGGACTTTTTACACCCCCCCCCCCCCCCCCCGTGAATTCTATAGATCGGCCGATATTTAATCCACGCAGAAACGATCAACTAATTTGAAGGCCAATGTAGACATTATTATCGAGGCTTCACCACCCCACCCACCCCGTTTCCTATGCGTACATTGTCAGTAGGGGCCGTCCATAAATGACGTCACGCACCTCGGGGGGGGGGGTGTCAGGCATTTGTGACGATGTGTGACGAGGGGGTAGGGGTTTGAGAAATGTGACGTCACATCAAAATGCGCAACTTCAAATAAATATAAACAACACGTTCTACTGAATTAAATAGACTTTAATAAATGGTTCTACAACATCAAAGTGCAGCGCCACATTAAATACGCACTACTACAAAGGACAATAGTTTAAAGCGATTTGAAGCATGCTTTATTTTCAAAATGGAAATATGGTTTTGGGGGGGGGCGGGGCAGAGCTTTGTGACGTCATGTTTGAGGGGGGGGGGTCTGACGTTTTTGTGACGCCGTGTGACGAGGGGGAGGGGGGATCAAAATCGTCCAAAATCGCGTGACGTCATTTATGGACGGCCCCTTTGCATCCCCAGTAGTTGATCATTACTCACAGCACGAGGTACTCATTTTAGACTCAGTTGATGCTATTACACACTGATACACATCTGAAGCAATTGGCGGGACCCCGGGGTCCCATCACTGCCCCGGGGTGGGAAAACCCGCGTAGCGACACGAGTCTTGCTGCCTTACCGACAACAACAAAACTAGTGTCAATCGATTGGCCTCGTCGAGAGCTACTCGGGGCACTAAGTTTCGTAAAAAGTTGAAAAATTACACAAACACGTTAAATTCCCTGCCTGGGGGGGGGAGCGGGCGGGGCTCGCCTTGGCAAAGAAGCTGAGGATCGACGGCTGACCGGAGGGCGTCGTCGCCGCGCGCGACTGCGGCGGACGTCCCCCGGGGCTCGCGTTTGGCCGGTGGGGTGGTGCCCATCGTGTCGATCGCCGCCTGCTGCTGCTGCTGCTGGCGCTTGTTGGCGCGAGTCTGGGCGGGCGGCGCGTTGCTGTCGGGATCACGTAGTGGGGCGGACTGAAGAATAATAATTGACCTGATTTTTGCGGAACCCCGGGGTCCCGCCAAATGATTCATTTGTACACCAATGCGCACAATGGTACGCACACTAATACTATTAGAAATATCCCCCGTATAGCCTGAACAGACTGTTGGGGCAAGTGCTATGAGCGAGCAGCACCTATGAAGGCCAACACAGCACACGAGGTGGGTGGCCATCCAGTCGCCTTTATCTCCCCAGTGCTGATTATATTCATAGACATCGCACCAGGTACTCATTTGAGACTGAGTCGACCTAGGGGACGCCCACAACCGGTTCAGATAATCGTCACTGGTGCTCGCCGTGAGTGGAATCGCTAACCACGGTACCCTAACCACTGCACACTGAGACACCACCACTACACACACTGACACCACCACTACACACACTGAGACACCACCACTACACACACTGACACCACCACACACACACTGACACCACCACTAGACACACTGACACCACCACTACACACACTGACACCACCACTACACACACTGACACCACCACTACACACACTGACACTACCACTACACACACTGACACCACCACTACGCACACTGACACCACCACTACACACACTGACACCACCACTACACACACTGACACCACCACTACACACTCTGACACTACCACTACACACACTGACACCACCACTACACACACTGACACCACCACTACACACACTGACACCACCACTACACACACTGACACCACCACTACACACACTGACACCACCACTACACACACTGACACCACCACTACACACACTGAGACACCACCACAACATACACTGACACCACCACTACACACACTGACACCTCCACAACATACACTGAGACACCACCACTACACACACTGACACCACCACTACACACACTGACACCACCACTACACACACTGACACCACCACTACACACACTGACACCACCACTACACACACTGACACCACCACTACACACACTGACACCACCACTACGCACACTGACAGCACCACTAGACACACTGACACCACCACTACACACACTGACACCACCACTACACACACTGACACCACCACTACACACACTGACACCTCCACAACATACACTGAGACACCACCACTACACACACTGACACCACCACTACACACACTGACACCACCACTACGCACACTGACACCACCACTAGACACACTGACACCACCACTACACACACTGACACCACCACTACACACACTGACACCACCACTACACACACTGACACCACCACTACACACACTGTGACACCACCACTACACACACTGACACCACCACTACACACACTGACACCACCACTACACACACTGACACCACCACTACACACACTGTGACACCACCACTACACACACTGACACCACCACTACACACACTGACACCTCCACAACATACACTGAGACACCACCACTACACACACTGACACCACCACTACACACACTGACACCACCACTACACACACTGACACCACCACTACACACACTGACACCACCACTACACACACTGACACCACCACTACACACACTGACACCACCACTACACACACTGACACCACCACTACACACACTGACACCTCCACAACATACACTGAGACACCACCACTACACACACTGACACCACCACTACACACACTGACACCACCACTACACACACTGACACCACCACTACACACACTGACACCACCACTACACACACTGACACCACCACTATACACACTGACACCACCACTACACACACTGACACCACCACTACACACACTGACACCACCACTATACACACTGACACCACCACTACACACACTGACACCACCACTACGCACACTGACACCACCACTACACACACTGACACCACCACTACGCACACTGACACCACCACTACACACACTGACACCACCACTACACACACTGACACTACCACTACACACACTGACACCACCACTACACACACTGACACCACCACTACACACACTGACACCACCACTACACACACTGACACTACCACTACACACACTGACACCACCACTACACACACTGACACCACCACTACACACACTGACACTGCGTGCGCTTGAGCGAGCCCTCCAGTGACGTCACCTCGCCGGGCAGTCGCTGCAGCCTCGCCGGTGACGTCACGGCCGTGGGCCTTCACCCCCACCACCAACACCCCCTCCACCTCTTCCTCGGAATATCCCCCCCCTCACTCCACTCCTCCTCTCTCCACCCCCCATCGTCTCTCTCTCCCTGCCCCCATCACATCCTTCTCGCCATCACGACCATCACCTTCCTGATTCTCATCCTGGCCCCCCACGCCGGCTTCGGCGTCATCATCATCAGCAGCATCATCAGCAGAGAGATTCTGGCTGCGTGATGAAGGTAAGCAGCTCAGTGTAACCTCACTCGTTGCGTCCATCCCCAGGCACAGTCGCTCAGCTGATGGTGATGTCTCTCTGTGTGTGTCACTGTGTGTGTGGCTTTGTGTGTCAGTGTGGGTGCTGTGTTTATCAGTGTGTGTGTGTCAGTGTAACTGTGTCCGTGTGTGTCAGTGTAATTGTGTCTGTGTGTGTCACTGTGTGTGTGGCTTTGTGTGTCAGTGTGGGTGCTGTGTTTATCAGTGTGTGTGTGTCAGTGTAACTGTGTCCGTGTGTGTCAGTGTAATTGTGTCTGTGTGTGTCACTGTGTGTGTGGCTTTGTGTCAGTGTGGGTACTGTGTTTATCAGTGTGTGTGTGTCAGTGTAATTGTGTCTGTGTGTGTCACTGTGTGTGGCTTTGTGTCAGTGTGAGTGCTGTGTTTATCAGTGTGTGTGTCAGTGTAATTGTGTCCGTGTGTGTGACTGTGTGTGGCTTTGCGTCAGTGTGGGTACTGTGTTTATCAGTGTGTGTGTGTCAGTGTAATTGTGTCTGTGTGTGTGACTGTGTGTGGCTTTGTGTCAGTGTGGGTACTGTGTTTATCAGTGTGTGTGTCAGTGTACTTGTGTCCGTGTGTGTCACTGTGTGTGGCTTTGTGTCGGTGTGGGTGCTGTGTTTATCAGTGTGTGTGTGTCAGTGTAATTGTGTCCGTGTGTGCCACTGTGTGTGGCTTTGTGTCAGTGTGGGTACTGTGTTTATCAGTGTGTGTGTGTCAGTGTACTTGTGTCTGTGTGTGTCACTGTGTGTGTCTTTGTGTAAGTGTGGGTGCTTTGTTTATCAGTGTGTGTGTCAGTGTACTTGTGTCTGTGTGTCACTGTGTGGCTTTGTGTCAGTGTGAGTGCTGTGTTTATCAGTGTGTGTGTCAGTGTAATTGTGTCTGTGTGTGTCACTGTGCGTGGCTTTGTGTCAGTGTGGGTACTGTGTTTATCAGTGTGTGTGTCAGTGTATTTGTGTCTGTGTGTGTCACTGTGTGTGGCTTTGTGTAAGTGTGGGTACTGTGTTTATCAGTGTGTGTGTGTCAGTGTAATTGTGTCTGTGTGTGTCACTGTGTGTGGCTTTGTGTCGGTGCTGTGTTTATCAGTGTGTGTGTGTCAGTGTAATTGTGTCTGTGTGTGTCACTGTGTGTGGCTTTGTGTCGGTGTGGGTGCTGTGTTTATCAGTGTGTGTGTGTCAGTGTAATTGTGTCTGTGTGTGTCACTGTGTGTGGCTTTGTGTCGGTGTGGGTGCTGTGTTTATCAGTGTGTGTGTGTCAGTGTAATTGTGTCTGTGTGTGTCACTGTGTGTGGCTTTGTGTCAGAGTGGGTACTGTGTTTATCAGTGTGTGTGTCAGTGTAATTGTGTCCGTGTGTGTGACTGTGTGTGGCTTTGTGTCAGTGTGGGTACTGTGTTTATCAGTGTGTGTGTCAGTGTAATTGTCTGTGTGTGTCACTGTGTGTGGATTTGTGTCAGTGTGGGTGCTGTGTTTATCAGTGTGTGTGTCAGTGTAATTGTCTGTGTGTGTCACTGTGTGTGGCTTTGTGTCAGTGTGGGTACTGTGTTTATCAGTGTGTGTGTCAGTGTAATTGTCTGTGTGTGACTGTGTGTGGCTTTGTGTCAGTGTGGGTGCTGTGTTTATCAGTGTGTGTGTCAGTGTAATTGTGTCTGTGTGTCACTGCGTGTGGCTTTGTGTAAGTGTGGGTGCTGTGTTTATCAGTGTGTGTCAGTGTAATTGTCTGTGTGTGTCACTGTGTGTGGCTTTGTGTAAGTGTGGGTGCTGTGTTTATCAGTGTGTGTGTCAGTGTAATTGTCTGTGTGTGTCACTGTGTGTGGATTTGTGTCAGTGTGGGTGCTGTGTTTATCAGTGTGTATGTCAGTGTAATTGTCTGTATGTGTCACTGTGTGTGGCTTTGTGTCAGTGTGGATACTGTGTTTATCAGTGTGTGTGTGTCAGTGTAATTGTGTCTGTGTGTGTCACTGTGCGTGGCTTTGTGTCAATGTGGGTACTGTGTTTATCAGTGTGTGTGTCAGTGTAATTGTGTCTGTGTGTGTCACTGTGTGTGGCTTTGTGTCAGTGTGAGTGCTGTGTTTATCAGTGTCAGTGTAATTGTGTCCGTGTGTGTGACTGTGTGTGGCTTTGCGTCAGTGTGAGTGCTGTGTTTATCAGTGTGTGTGTGTCAGTGTAATTGTGTCCGTGTGTGCCACTGTGTGTGGCTTTGTGTCAGTGTGGGTACTGTGTTTATCAGTGTGTGTGTCAGTGTAATTGTCTGTGTGTGTCACTGTGTGTGGCTTTGTGTCAGTGTGAGTGCTGTGTTTATCAGTGTGTGTGTGTCAGTGTACTTGTGTCTGTGTGTGTCACTGTGTGTCTTTGTGTAAGTGTGGGTGCTTTGTTTATCAGTGTGTGTGTCAGTGTACTTGTGTCCGTGTGTGTGACTGTGTGTGGCTTTGTGTCAGTGTGGGTGCTGTGTTTATCAGTGTGTGTGTGTCAGTGTAATTGTCTGTGTGTGTCACTGTGCGTGGCTTTGTGTCAGTGTGGGTACTGTGTTTATCAGTGTGTGTGTCAGTGTAATTGTGTCTGTGTGTGTCACTGTGTGTGGCTTTGTGTCGGTGTGGGTGCTGTGTTTATCAGTGTGTGTGTGTCAGTGTAATTGTGTCTGTGTGTGTCACTGTGTGTGGCTTTGTGTCGGTGTGGGTGCTGTGTTTATCAGTGTGTGTGTGTCAGTGTAATTGTCTGTGTGTGTCACTGTGTGTGGCTTTGTGTCAGTGTGAGTGCTGTGTTTATCAGTGTGTGTCAGTGTAATTGTGTCCGTGTGTGTGACTGTGTGTGGCTTTGCGTCAGTGTGAGTGCTGTGTTTATCAGTGTGTGTGTGTCAGTGTAATTGTGTCCGTGTGTGCCACTGTGTGTGGCTTTGTGTCAGTGTGGGTACTGTGTTTATCAGTGTGTGTGTCAGTGTAATTGTCTGTGTGTGTCACTGTGTGTGGCTTTGTGTCAGTGTGAGTGCTGTGTTTATCAGTGTGTGTGTGTCAGTGTACTTGTGTCTGTGTGTGTCACTGTGTGTCTTTGTGTAAGTGTGGGTGCTTTGTTTATCAGTGTGTGTGTCAGTGTACTTGTGTCCGTGTGTGTGACTGTGTGTGGCTTTGTGTCAGTGTGGGTGCTGTGTTTATCAGTGTGTGTGTGTCAGTGTAATTGTCTGTGTGTGTCACTGTGCGTGGCTTTGTGTCAGTGTGGGTACTGTGTTTATCAGTGTGTGTGTCAGTGTAATTGTGTCTGTGTGTGTCACTGTGTGTGGCTTTGTGTCGGTGTGGGTGCTGTGTTTATCAGTGTGTGTGTGTCAGTGTAATTGTGTCTGTGTGTGTCACTGTGTGTGGCTTTGTGTCGGTGTGGGTGCTGTGTTTATCAGTGTGTGTGTGTCAGTGTAATTGTCTGTGTGTGTCACTGTGTGTGGCTTTGTGTCAGTGTGGGTACTGTGTTTATCAGTGTGTGTCAGTGTAATTGTGTCTGTGTGTGTCACTGTGCGTGGCTTTGTGTCAGTGTGGGTACTGTGTTTATCAGTGTGTGTGTCAGTGTAATTGTGTCTGTGTGTGTCACTGTGTGTGGCTTTGTGTCGGTGTGGGTGCTGTGTTTATCAGTGTGTGTGTGTCAGTGTAATTGTGTCTGTGTGTGTCACTGTGTGTGGCTTTGTGTCGGTGTGGGTGCTGTGTTTATCAGTGTGTGTGTGTCAGTGTAATTGTCTGTGTGTGTCACTGTGTGTGGCTTTGTGTCAGTGTGGGTACTGTGTTTATCAGTGTGTGTCAGTGTAATTGTGTCCGTGTGTGTGACTGTGTGTGGCTTTGTGTCAGTGTGGGTACTGTGTTTATCAGTGTGTGTGTCAGTGTAATTGTCTGTGTGTGTCACTGTGTGTGGATTTGTGTCAGTGTGGGTGCTGTGTTTATCAGTGTGTGTGTCAGTGTAATTGTCTGTGTGTGTCACTGTGTGTGGCTTTGTGTCAGTGTGGGTACTGTGTTTATCAGTGTGTGTGTCAGTGTAATTGTCTGTGTGTGACTGTGTGTGGCTTTGTGTCAGTGTGGGTACTGTGTTTATCAGTGTGTGTGTCAGTGTAATTGTGTCTGTGTGTGTCACTGCGTGTGGCTTTGTGTAAGTGTGGGTGCTGTGTTTATCAGTGTGTGTGTCAGTGTAATTGTCTGTGTATGTCACTGTGTGTGGATTTGTGTCAGTGTGGGTGCTGTGTTTATCAGTGTGTATGTCAGTGTAATTGTCTGTATGTGTCACTGTGTGTGGCTTTGTGTCAGTGTGGATACTGTGTTTATCAGTGTGTGTGTCAGTGTAATTGTGTCTGTGTGTGTCACTGTGTGTGGCTTTGTGTCAGTGTGGGTGCTGTTTTATCAGTGTGTGTGTGTCAGTGTAATTGTGTCTGTGTCACTGTGCGTGGCTTTGTGTCAATGTGGGTACTGTGTTTATCAGTGTGTGTGTGTCAGTGTAATTGTGTGTGTGTGTCACTGTGTGTGGCTTTGTGTCAGTGTGGGTGCTGTGTTTATCAGTGTGTGTCAGTATAATTGTGTCTGTGTGTGTCACTGTGTGTCTTTGTGTCAGTATGGGTGCTGTGTTTATCAGTGTGTGTCAGTATAATTGTGTCTGTGTGTGTCACTGTGCGTGGCTTTGTGTCGGTGTGGGTACTGTTTATCAGTGTGTGCGTGTCAGTGTAATTAGAACCGGTCCTGGGTCTCTCCTAGGTCGACTCAGTCGCAAATGAGTAGCTGATACGGTGTGTCACCATCGGCACTGGGGGAGACAAAGGCGGCCGGGCGTGGTGTTGGCCACCCACCCCTCGTGTGCCACAGTGCCGGCCTTCATAGGTGCTCGCTAACAGCACTTGCCCCAACAGTCTGTTAAGACAACGGGGGAGGGAATCTTCGTCTTTGTTTGGCACGACGTTCCGCGGCCACGCGCCTCAGCGGTAGAGCAACCAGTCCCGGATTCAGCTCCTACGGGG